CCAAGAACAAATTAAAACACAAGAAAGAAAGGGTTGTAGTTAGTTCAAGAATCGCTGGCCTTTAGGAGTGTTTTCTAGTCCAGTCTGTTGGGGCACCACGCCCTGGCCCCAAAGTCCACCTTCAGCATTCCCTGGGGACCTTGCTGCTCCCCTCCCTTGCTGTTCCGCTGCACTCCCCCAGTGCTTTGCCTCAGTGTGGCGGGGTCAGATCGGGCGAATAAAAATAGGTTTCTAAGGAATGAACAGTGAAGACCCCAGAAGAACTGATGCATTTGACTCCTGCTGGCGAGGAACAGAGAAAGTACTGTGGACTGCCAGAAGAACACACAGCTCTGTTTTGGAGGAAGTACAGCCAGAATGCTTTTCAGAAGGAAGAGTGGCACGACTTGTTCGTCTCGTGTATTTGGACACGCTGTTAAGAGAGACCAGTCCTTGGAAAAGGACATCATGCTTGGTAACGCACAGGGCCAGTGGGAAAGAGGAGACCCTTGATAAGATGGATTGGCAGCAGTGGCTGCAGCAGCAAGCTCAAGCAGAAGAACAATTGTGAGCGTGCCACATGACCAGCCCTTGTTGGGTTCTGTGAGTCAACCAACTGAGTGGCACCCGACCATAACAGGGAATGAATATATTAATCTTATATGATTTATATCTCTATCCATTCTAACACAGTCACTAGTTAGCAGCTACAATGAAGAAGCTCCAGGATGACTTGAATGCCTTCCATATGCCACACTCGAGCCTTGGTGGTGTTATGGGTAGGTTCAGTGTTGGGTTACCAGCCACAAAGTCAGCCGTTGGAACCCACCAGCCATTTCACTCACTGGCTGCTCTGTGCCCCAGCAGCTGCTCTAAGGGAGAAAATGAGGCTATCTGCTCCCATGAGGATGAACAGCCTGGTAAACCCTTTAGAGAAGTTCAGCTATGCCTAGAGAGTTTCTCTGAATTGGAACCAACTCAGTGACAAGGGATACTGGGTATATGCCACACCTTAGGGGGAAAGGGGTATAGACTGGCATTATCAGAAAGGTAAGAAAGGCAATGTTGATTAGTGGCTAGAGAGCACCATCAACTTCTCAGTCATACTACCTGCTTTGGATATGTTGATTTCATCCTCATTAAGAAAATATTAAGAATAGCCATGTCAGAGATTTGAGAACTAATGAGTAAAAAGTACCTGACACGTAGTGACTCAGAAGTTTCGATTTTCCTTTTCTTCTCTCCCGTTCCTCTCATTCATGCAACTGTTTAAATGGCCAAAACAATGCCACTGTTTAAAATATTTTATTTAGTAAATTGTAAGTATTACCTACAGGTTGGTGGGGGGTAGAGGGGAGATGAAGTTTTAACTTTTTGTACAGAATGGGGAACTCAGCCAACTTGTTGCAGCCCAGAGCTCAGCCGAGGAGGATCTGGTCCCAGCACCCAACAAGTCCCCATGGTTTCTTTTCAGTCTTTCACCTCCCTGCCACCTCCCTGCCTGTGATGGGGTCGAGGGGAGTTGCTGATTGCAAAAGAATTGTATGCCTCCCTAGTACATTGCACAACCTCCCTAATCAGAATAAGTTAATTACTAGCAAAAGGTCAGGTTTAGGGATAAAGATTAGTAAAAATGTAAGGGTTTGGGTTTTTCTTAAATACTAAGAATGGCAGCAGCCATCGATTTAATTTTTTCCAACTGTTTTATTGGCATATGGTTCACATCATACAGTTCAATAGTTCAGCCACATCAGGAAGAGTCGCACAGTAGCCACTTTCAGAGGCTTACTCTTAACCAGCTTTATTGGGATAAAATTCTCATGACGTGCAGTTCACCCCATCTAAGTGGATATAATTTGGTGGACTTTAGCGGGGTCACAGAGCTGTGCAGCTATCACCACAATGCATTTGAGAGCATTTTCACCTGCCCCCCCCCCCAAGAAACCCCATGCCCATCAGCCGTCTCTCTATTAGTGTGCCTATTGCTGACACTTCCTAACAATGGGATCTTGCAGTAGCTTGTGGTTTTGTGTGTCTGGCTTCTCACATGTAGTGTAGTGTTTCCAGGGTTCACCCCTGGGTCCATGGTGTAGCATGTATCAGTACGTTTCCATCGGCTGAGGGTTCCAGAGTGTCAGCATTCATTGCCCTTTTTGACTTTAGCTGCCTTCCTGAGTGTGAAGTGGCATCTCATGGTGGTGTGGGATTTGTACTTTTCTCGTGGGTAGTGAGGTTCTCTTCTGTGCTTATTGATCATTAGTATATCTTCCTTAGAGAAGTGTCTCTTCAGATCTTTCCGTCATTTTCTCCTTGGGTCACATGTCTTTTCATTACTGAGTTGTCAGTGTTCTTCAGCGGCCAGTTTGTGATGGCCTAGTATGTACCAGTACCACGCGAGGTCTTTCACAGGCATAAATCATTGTTTACCCTACTAAAACCCCGCCTGGTAGGTAGCTATATGTAGGTTATGGAGAAGGCGGATGACCAGCATTGAAACAACTTATCTGAAGACATAGGTGGGTATCAGGATTCCTACTCCCACCTGCTTCTTACACTCCCGCTCTGTTGGCACTTCCAGGCTTTGGCATTGTTGCAGAGCCTCTGTTCTGTGCTCTATTAGGACATCTGTCAGGAAGTGTCAGAGGGAATCGAGAACATTCCCTTTATAAGGGCAGCGCTGGGGTGGGATTAGAACCCACCCTACTCTGGCAAAAGCTCATGTTGAACGTAGCTGGCAACATCTTTAGCGAGTGACCCTGTTTCCCAACAAAGTCACCTTTTCCAGCTGAAAGAGTTTGAACTTCTACATATTTGGGGGAAAGGAGAGAGACAATTCAACCCATAGCAGTTTCTTCTAGCACATCACATACTAGATTTATTTCAGAAGGCTTCCCACATTTGAAAATCAAAACCAAACCAGAATTTGCTTTCTACCAAGAGAACTTTGGATAGAAAGACAGTCATGAGTGCCCTGTTGTGTGAACCGTATCTTCTGAGTCTGCTTAAACTGGGATATTGTTCGGAGCAGGCCACGTATGAAAGAAATGAGCCCTGCTCAGAACACATTGGTAAACTTGACAGTCTGTTTTCTTAGCTGGATGAGAAGATTATTTTCTTAGCTGGATGAAGAGATTAGTTAATCGGTAGCTTGATGTACTTTTCAAAACAAACAGAGTGAAGAGATAAACTATGGCCTTTGGAAGCTTGTCTAGTTTCTGCCCTATAAAGTATCAAGAGGATTTCTTATACACGGCGAAGCCTTAGTGTCAATTATAATCGTATCATAGTTAATGGAGTGCCAAGACTGGAGGAGGGCATGGTGATGATTAAAAGCTGAAAATTGCAACCCAGTAGCCTTGTGCAGCAGAACTCCTTGTGGCCATTTAATTTTGATCAGTCGTTCAGACTTCTGGGGGGTGGTTACTGTGGATAATTTTGCTCTAAGTGGCATAGATTGAAAGTAGGATCTAGAAAACAGAAAAAAAAAAAGAAAGTAGGATCTAGATAAGGAAGTGTTTAATGCAGTGTCAATTTCACCCGTTAAAAAAGAAATAAATAGTGCCTGCTGTGGCTAAGGTAACACCTATTAGAGTGGAAAGGTTTCCTCTAGCGAGCTCCCAGGTGTCGGTGGAGGGTCGGTGCCATCCCTTCATTTCCAACTCCGAGGGGCCGTGTCCAACAGACCGAATCCCTGCCTGGGCCCGTGCCATCACATCATTGCTATGTGTGAGGCCCTTGTTGTGCTTCATAGGGTTTTTAATGGCTGAGTTTGTAAACGTAGATTGCCAGGCCTTTCTTCCTAGGCATCTGTGTGAACTCCAGCCTCCAGTCTTTCAGATAGCGGCCAAGCTCACTACAACCTCCAGTTACTTCATATCTTTACTTCCTTTTCCCCGCCAGTGGAAGAATAAAACTTCTGTGAGGGCAGGGCCTAGGTCTGATTTGTTCACTCTGAAAGCCCCAGTGCCTCCGACCGTGCCTGTGGCTTATGGCAAGCACTTGACGAAGTCTGTGGCACTATTGGAAGAAGCAAAGGAGAAGTAGGTCTATTGAAGAAGGAAAGAGGGGTAAAAAGAGTGTGTTACAGGGAAGAGAGATTGATAAAGGAGCTGCTACACTCTTGATCTTCGTAAGGTGTCCCTCCTCTGTCGTCTGGCCTCAGTCCCAGACATCACTGCATGCACTGATAGGTCACAGCAGTTACCTAGCATGCTGTGTTTGCCTTGAAATAGACTAACAAGACACACACACACACACACATATGGAGAGATTTATTTCCAGGACTTACCTCACTTGGTATTGGAAGATGGCAAGGTCAAAATCAAGCCACAGGCCAGACACTTTGGCAGTCTTTGTCCAAACTCAGTAGACCGTGTGGAATAGGACAGCTCAGCTACAGTCTTGAAGAATTCTTTTCTCTCAGAAAACCTCACTTTTTTGCTTTAAGGTTTTAATAAATTGGATGAGGCCCGTCCCCATGATGGATGGAGAGCTGCTTAAGTTTATGAGATTTAAATGTTCATCACCAAGAAATATGTACCCAGCAACACGCAGATCACTGCTTAACCGACCACTGAGCCCAATGGCAGAGCCACACTGCCACACTGAATGAACCGTCATGTGCTAATGTGCCTTCACCTTCTTCAGCCTCCTGACGATTCTGCCCGTGTGTGGTCCCGTTCCACACCCACAGTTGTTCTGCTTGAGCCCATTGTTGCAGCCCCCGTATCAATCCATCTCGAGGTCCTTCCCCTTTTCTGCTGCCCCTGCACTTTACCAAGCATGTTGTCCTTCTCCAGGGACTGGTCTCTCCTGACAACACGTCCAAAGTACACAAGACAGTCTTGCCAACGTTGCCTCTGGGGAGAACTTTGACTATGCTTGTTTCAAGGCAGATCTGTGTGTTCTTTCGACAGTCTGTAGCACCGCAACTCATAATCTTGAAAATGACTGTTATATAAATGTTGACAATTCTAGTGCCAATGTGATTCCATGGATTGAAATAATTTTTTCCCTTCCAGTTCTCTTAGAACTCATCACATTGAGGCTGCTCTGACGGGCTCTGCATCGGATGGTTTTAAGGCAGATCTTGTCTTCAGAGAGATTGAGAAGAAGCTTGAAGAGGTAAGATCCATGTGGCGTTTGCACCAGTGAGAGTTCCTGGGGCTGGAGGAAGCAGACACGAGTTTCAGGTGTTTCATCAAGTTGGTCTAACTTGAAAATTTGTATCTTGCTGTCTTGGATTCAGTGTGTTTTAGATTTCTGAGTGTCTTATTCAGGTTTACTTGTAATTTTAGGTAGTGTATAATATAGAAATGTGTAAATTTCTAGATTTATGGAATTTAAAGAACTACCACAAAATCAGTAGCGAGATGAGGCTGTCTATTCCTGTCCATATGTGAAGTATCAGAAACCCGCCTGGGCAGTTGCACTCTGTGCTTTAGAGCCATTGTAAGTCAGAGTCGACTCGATAGCGGGGAGTTTGGAATAAAATGCTGTTGAAATCTTTCTTTGCGGTGGAGGAGGGGAAGAAGCCTAAACTTTATCACTCTTTTCTGTTCAAACTTTGTCAAGCAGATACTCAGTTATAAACAAAACGAATAAGTGTTATTGATTGCATATGTTCCCTCAAAAATATGAATTATAAATTATAACCTCTATGCAATTGGAATACAGTAGTTGGAAATCATGGACTTAGTGATAGAAATGAAACTGGAGATTGCATGGTAGAATTTTGCAAAACCAATGACTTGTTCATAGCAAATAGCTTTTTTAATAACACAAAAGGCGACTGTACACATGGACTTCCCCAGATGGAATACCCAGAAATAAAATTGGCTGCATGTGGAAAGACATAATGGACAAGCTCAATACTAGCAGCTACAACCAGACTAGGGGCCGACTGTGGAACAGACCATCAACTGCTCATAGGTCAGTTCAGGATAAAACTGAAGAAAATGAAAACAAGTCCACAAAAGCCAAAATACAACCTGGAGTCAGTCCCCCCTGAATTTCGAGAACATCCCAAGTACACATTTGACGCATTGAATACTAATGACAGAAGACCTGATGAGTTGTGAGAGGGCATCAGACCATCATTCAGGAAGAAAGCAAAAGGTCATTTAAAAGACAGGACAGAAAGAAAGGATCAAAGGATGTCAGAAGAGACTCTGAAACTTGCTCTAATTGTAGAGTAGCTAAAGCAATGGGAAGAACGGATGAAGTCAAAGAGTTGAGTAGAAAATTCGCAAGGGCAGCTAGCTCAAGAAGACAAGGCCAAATATTATATCACAGCGTGTAAATACCTAGAATTAGAAAACCAAAAGGGAAGAACGTGCTCAGCATATCCGAAACTGAAAGAACTCAGGAAAATATTCAAGCCTCTAATTACGATCTCGAACAATTCTTTTATTTTTATTTTTTTTTCTTCGAACAATTCTATGGGCAAAATATTGACTTGTGCAGGAAGCATCAAGGAAGATGAAAAGAATACACAAAGTCACTGTACTGAAAAGAACTAGTTGACAGTTTACCATTTTAGGAGGTCATGTGTGAGCAGGAACCCATGGCTGCTGAAGGAAGAAGTTACGTGGCACTAAAAGCATTAGTCAAAGACAGGCTCCAGGAATTGATGGAATTGCAATGGAAAAGTTTCAACAAGCTGATAAATCACTGGAAGCACTCACTGGTCTAGCCAGGAAATTTGAAAGATAGCTACTTGACCAACTGACTGGAAGAGATCTGTCTTTATGCCTATTCCAAAGAAAAGGGATTCAACAGAGACCTCAAACTGTAGAACAATATCATTGACATATGCAAGTGAAATTTTTCATCCAATAGTTGCAGCAGTACAGTGATGGAGCTTCCAGAAGCTCAGACCGGATTCAGAAGAGGATGTGGACCAAGGGATATCATTACTGATGTCAGATGGATCTTGACTGAAAGCAGAGAAGACCAGAAAGGTGTTGACTTGTGTTTTATTGACTGTGCAAAGGCATTTACTGTACGGGCCATAATAAACTATAACCTTGAGAAGAAAGGGAATACAAGAACACTTCATTGTGCTCATGTGAAACTTGCACATGGATCAAGAGGCAGTTGTGCGAACAGAACAAGGGAATATGCTGCATGGTTTCAAATCAGGAAAAGTGTGCATCCTGGTTGAATCCTCTCACCTCACTTGGTCAGTCTGTATGCTGAGCAAATCATCAGAAAAGTGGATTATGTGAAGAAGAATGTGGCATCAGGATGGGAGGAAGGTTTGTTAGGATCCTGCAATATGCAAAGGACACAATCTTGCTTGCTGGAAACGAGGAGGACTTGCTGACAAGGATCAAGGCCTGTAGCCTTCACTGTGGGTTACAACTTAATGTAAAGAAGACCCAAATCCTCACAACTAAACCAATGGGTAACTCCATGAGAGTGGAGCAAAAGTTGAAGTGGTCAGGATTTTGTCTTTGAGCCACAATCAATGCTCATGGAAGCATCAGCACGAGATCGTAAGATTTGTTGATTGGGTAACTCTGCTGCGCAAGAACTCTTTAGAGTGTTGCAAAACAAGGGTAATACTTTGAAGTGTTGCAAAACAAGGATAATACTTTGAGGACTAAGGTGAACCTGATCCGAGCCATGGTACTTTCCGTGGCCTCATATGCATGTGACAGTTGGACATTGAATAAGGAAGCCCAAAGAATAATGTGGATGCATTTTGAATTGTGGTGCTGACGAAGAATATTGAAAGTACCATACACCACTAAAACAAATCTGTCTAGGAAGAAATATAGCCCGAGTGCTCTGTAGAGGCAGCAAAGGCAAGGCTTCATCTTACAGACTTTGGACATATTGTCACATGAGGCCAGTACCTGGAGAAGGACATCATGCTTGGTAAAGTGGAGGGGCAGCGAAAAGGAAGGCTTTCCAGGAGATGGACACAGTGGTGCAATAATTGGCTCTGATATTGGAATGATTGTGAGGATGGTGCAGGACTGGGCAGTGTTTTGTTCGGTTGTCCTGAGGGTTGATATGGGTCAGAACCTTCTAGATGGCACCTAACCATAACAACATTGCCTATGGTTATAATCTCATTTGGGAAAGAGTTGTCTTTATTGTTAATGAGATAAGATTAAACTCAAAGCCCCAGTGTTATTGGGCCAATTCTGACTCATAGTGACACCACAGGGCAAAATAGCACTGTTCCCAAAGGTTTCTGAGGCTGTAAATCTGTACAGAAACAGAAAGGCGTATCTTTCTCCCAGGGAGCAACTGGTGGATTCGAACTGCTGACCTTCTGGTTAGCAGCCTATCACTTAACCTAGTCTGTCACCAGAGCTCCTTCTGAGATAAGATTAGTGTAGGGTGTGTTTGATTCCATCTATTTTGAGTTATCAAAGAGATTAAAAAAGCCAGCAAGTGAGCAGGGATGGGAAGAGAGATGCCACGCCACCTGAAGCTCGCCCAGAAGGTCATAAGGACCTCCCTCCCTCCAGAGCTGACAGAGAGAGAAAGCCTTTGCCTTGAGCTGGCACGCAGACTTCAGGCCTCTTAGCCTTCGAGAAAGTCAGTTTCTGTTTGCTACAGCCTCCCACTGTCAGTATTTCTGTTTCAGCCACCCTGGATAACTAAGATGATCTGTAGAAGTATTCCGATCTATTTTGATGACGTTTTCTTCTGAAGTGAAATAGAGCCTACTTAGAATCATTCAAAGGAGTACGATTCTAAAAGGAGCTTTTTAAGGTGCCAGATGTTAGAATTCTTTTTTTAAAAAAATCATTTTATTGGGGGCTCATACAACTCTTATCATAATCCCTACATACATCCATTGTGTCAAGCACATTTGTACATTTGTTGCCGTCATCATTCTCAAAACATTTGCTTTCTACTTGAGCCCTTGGTATCAGATCCTCAGTTTTCCCCCTCCCTCCCTGCTCCCCCCTCCCTCATGAACCCTTGATAATTTATAAATTATTATTATTTTGTCTTATCTTACACTGTCCAACGTCTCCCTTCACCTACTTAGGGAGGAGGTTATATGTAGATCCTTGTAATTGGTTCCCCTTTTCCACCACCACCCCCTCCACCCTCCCGGGCTGTTATAATTCTTCTTAAGACTTTGTGTTTGAATTTTTCCAAAGTGGTTGCTAATTTGCTTTTTTTGGTCTCACACTGAACTTGGATCTTACATGGACAGAACTACTTTATATAGAAAAATTAGGTTTTGGTAGATAATCATCCTATTAAGTCAAGCTAACCTTGGCTCTTTCTCCAGAAAAGAGAGTCGTTCTCTTCAGTCAAAGTTACAGATTGACTTCAGTGTTTTACATTGTGGGGATTTTAAGATTTCATTATTTGCTTTTAGTTTTGAGACTCTACAAGGCTCAGTTATAGCCACAGTCACATAATTCAGATTAAACAGCAGCTGAGGGGATCCGAGTAGTTGGAAATAAACAAAGCTGGGTGTGTTCCTGGTAGAGCCCCCACTTATAAGGCAAACATACCCCTTATAGACAAAGGATTTCTCGGGCGACTGATGTGTCTTGTCAAGGGACGTGATGATGATGTTTCTAGGGTTTCCAGACTGATCAGCAACCTTCCTGAGGTAGGGACGGGCCAGGACTCAAAACTCTGGATGGCTGCTCTGGCCCTGGGGTCGTCCTCTGGGGATCCAACCACATGGGTCCACCTATTGAGTCTAACCCTTTTCTCTGGGCCACATGCTCACTATGGACCATACTACATGAGCTAGTCAAGGTGTATTGTGCCAACAATGGCCAATAAACAGACTTAAGAGTGACCCCATAGGCCAGAGTAGAACTGCCCTTATAGGTTTGGGAGACTGTCACTGTTTATAGGAGTAGAAAGCCTTGTCTTTACCCTGAACCACCAGGAAGAGGGTACTAATTGACAGACTGTCCTTGAAAGTGTCACATTCTTTCTCCAGTTGTGTCGGTCAAATTATTTTGTTCTTAAAAAAATCTTTGCTAAAATAGCTTTTCAAAAATTTCTTTTGTTATCAGTATTCACTTAAAGCAGCGGTTCTCAACCTGTGTGTCGCAACTCCTTTGGGGGCCAAACGACCGTTTCACAGGGGTCGTTCATAACAGTAGCAAAATGACAGTGATGAAGTA